CTTGTGCTTTTAGTTTGGTTTTGTCATTTAATTGAAGTAGATAATAGACTGTGATAGAAGAGCTTAAACTTTCGTTGTTTGGATAGAAATAGAATTTAAGAGACTAAAATTATTATAGGCCCACATTAAAGTCTTGTTACAAATAGGTTTGTTGCTCTAAGTTCTGTATTTGAAGTCATTTGAATATGAACTAATTTTAAATTTGCCACTGAAATTTATAAATAGTTGGTGGTAAGTTCAGAACACTAACAATGCTCTAAAAGAAATGTACCAGCTATTAGGTAACAACACTAATAATAAAGATTTTGTTAACTCCTTCAAATTTATGTAATTAGAGCTAATTACATAAAACTACTTATAAAGATTATTTCAAATATTTTTATTTATTTATTAAAGTAAACATTATTAAAAATCTGACTTCAACATACTAGACAAGATCAGAAGGACAGGAATCCTAAAAAAAGCCTCATATAAAGCTGTGACTCTATTCACCTATTTATGATGAGTAATTTTACCATATTTCCTTCCCATTGACCTCAACCTTGTTTTATCAACAAGCTTTTACCTTCAAGTAGTTACCACCAGCCATTGATGCTGATACCTGGACAACATATTTGTCCACTAAATATTAGATTGTTAGCTCAGTGTAGGTGGGAGCAGCAAAAAGCCATTATAAAATCGTCTGATTCAAATAATTCATTAATTTGTATTGCTGCCTATCCTTTAGTTTACACCAGAGGATTTTGTTTTGTTTTACTCTGAAGACAAAAACAAAACAAAACACAAAACTTAAATCATGACCCAGCTTGTAACCATTCTTTCAATTCTAATATTTTAATTTAAAAGATCATGGCTACCAAACTTTGAAATACTACCTATGTTGCTAAGGTAGCTCACGTTTTTCTGCACATTTAACTCATATTTGCAGTGTAAAGGATCCAGTTTAGAAAGAAGGGTGGGATTTCATTCAGAGCAGAAGAAAACACCTGCGTTAATCCCAGGAGCACAAATGGGGTCTGGAGTGTCCAGAGCAGCTACCGCAGCTGTGGATGGAGGCTGACCTCTGCTTCAGCTCTGTCTTGAGCTGGCAGGTGCCAGGACGCCATTCTGTCTGCTCAGAAACACTCCCTTTTGAAGCAGCAGTATTTATTGCTCAATTGTGAATGCAAATTTTCATGTGTTCATGAATTAAGCATCCCTGCTCACGGCAAGTTGTCTAAAGGACTCTAGTGGACACATGTGGCTTTGGCATTAGTAATTGGACTTTGGGGAAAAGAGTCATCTCTGTTGCCCACTGTAAAATAATTTCATGAAAGCTTTGACCTCAGACCTGCCATATCAGCTGACAAAGTGAATTTGGAGGGGTGGAAACAATGAGAAGCTTGGCCTCTGAAATCTTGCACGTGAAAGAAAACTAAATTTTAAAGAATCTTTTGGTGGCAGTGGGAGGGAGAGACTGAGACGAGTTCGCAGTGATTGTCAGTGACCTTACAGTAGCTGGCTGTTTTAGGGGTCGTTTTTCTTAATACCAGTATATAGAGAAGTGTTTGACTTTGGCAATAGGCTATTTAGCTTTTCCAGAAGAGTCTGTTTAGCTTTTCTAAATCAGCGTGTCCCACCATCTCCTCCACCAGTGTTTAGAACATCGCCAAACTCTTTATAGGCATTCACTGAATGTATATAAAAATCAGTTAGTTAAACAACATGCTACTTAATCAAATCAAGACCAGAAATTCCATTGTAATGCTAAAACTTGATGCTAGGTATCCTCTCATTCTTTTCTTTGGGTTTCCTCTGCTCCACCAAAAACAAAATCCTACTTGTAGAGCATTAGTGAGCATTCTGTGTGTGTCAAGAATGACCAATACATTTCTTAAACTTAATTTTAAAAGATACCAGACAAACTGTTCTCATTACATGCTACCTGATTCACTGAAAATATTAAGAAAAATGTTAAGAAACATACTTTTCTTAGGTTCCCATTTTAATGGCAAAATGATCAGGGCATAAGAAAGAAAAGGGTTTGTCAAGTTGCTTCCATTATCTTAGCCCATCTCACTCTCCCAGATGCTCTAAAATTCCTCTTTTCCACATTTTGAACTTGAGATCTTGAGGCTGCTGTCCTTGACACTATGATAGGCAATTGGGAGGCATTCCAGACAGCATCTAGTGAAAGCAGGCACCCATTAGGTTTTCTAATAATCGAGTTCTAGAGCTGCATCCCAACACTTAGCACCCTAATCCACTGCTTTTAAAGTCACACAAGACTAGCTTACAGTCCTGGCCACCTCACTTACAAGAGACCTAACCTTGATAATCTTCAAGCTTGATTCCTGGAATCTGTAACAGGGCTATCATGATACTTTCCTCATTAGATTGGGAGAAGAGTAAATGTTGTAACATGTGGAAGTCCTTTGTTGATGGCAAAATGTACAAAATAGAAGACATGATGTTCTTGTTAATGTCATGCTAACCTTACAGCTGTTACCAGAAGTGCTGCAGAGTGGGAATTTGGCACAGTTCAGTTCAGTTCAGTCGCTCAGTTGTGTGTCCGACTCTTTGAGACCCCATGAACCGCAGCACGCCAGGCCTCCCTGTCCATCACCAACTCCCAGAGTCCACCCAAACCCATGTCCATTGAGTCAGTAATGCCATCCAACCATCTCATCCTCTGTCGTCACCTTCTCCTCCTGCCCTCAATCTTTCCCAGCATCAGGGTCTTTTCCAATGAGTCAGCTCTTTGCATCAGGTGGCCAAAGTATTGGAGTTTCAGCTTCAGCATCAGTCCTTCCAATGAACACCCCGTACTGATCTCCTTTAGGATGGACTGGTTGGATCTCCTTGTGGTCCAAGGGACTCTCAAGAGTCTTCTCCAACACCACAGCTCCTCTGTAACTCGTGTTTAGCAGTATATCTTTTGGTAGGTAGAGCATTCTTACGTTCCCACCTAGGGACACTTTGCTAGGACTTTGGCTTTACCCCCATCTTAACTTGTGTTTGTCTCCCAGCCCTGCTAAAGAGGACGGTGAGAGATTGAAGGTAGCTGAAATGCTCCACCTCCTCTGGTAGGCTGAGTCCTGAGACATGACTTCATCTTTGTTGTTTTTGTTCAGTCGCTCAGTCCTGTTCGATGCTTTGCAGCTCCATGGACTGCAGCACACCAGGCTTCCCTGTCCTTCACTATCTCCTAAATCTTGCTCAGACTTCATGTCCATTGAGTCGGTGATGCTATCCAACCATCTAATCCTTTGTCATCCCCTTCTCCTCCTGTCCTAAATCTTTCCCAGCATCAGGGTCTTTTCTAATGATTGGCTCTCTGTATCTTTAGCTCTTACAAACTTTGAGAGCTAGGAAAAAAAAAAAATCTATGCCTCTAGAATTCATGTTTCCTGCTAGTATTTTTGTTCAAAGGTAAAAAAAAAATTTCAGTGTGTCTGAATAATAGACAACTGTCCAACAAAATAAAAATCCCCAGAAGACCCACCCATCATCTGACTTATGACAAAGATAACACTGTACTTTGATGGGGAAAGTAGGCATTTTTCAGTGAATGTTTTTGGGTTAATTTGACAGCCATATGGGGGAGAAAAGCATCTTGACTTTGACCTCACATCATATAAAGGACCTTGGAAGAGGCAAAAATTTCTTAAGTGAAACACTAAAAGAGATAACTGTAAACAGAAAAAATGTTAAATTGAGTTTTAGAACTTCTATTCATCACAAACTCCTTTAAGAGAATGTAAACTCAATATGCAGTGTGGGAGAATATATTTGTAATAAATATATTCTTTTCTGATGAAAGACTCATATTCAGATATGTAAAGAGCTCTTATCTATCTAATCTATCCAATGTATAATATATAATGAACTCTAGCAAATAATAGGACAACTCAATAGAAATTGATATGAACAAATACTGTATGGAAGAAGATACAAAGATACTAAATGGCCAATACATTTATTAAAGAGTTCAGCTTAATCACTGGATAAATACAAAAATTAAAACACTATGTAAAATTACTATACCTCCCACCAGAATGTCTAAAATGAAAAAGATGAAAAATACCAAGTATTGGTGATGATATAGGGGAACTGAAAATTCTCATATATTGCTGATGGAAGTATAATTGTTAGAGCCATATTGGAAAACTATTTAACAGTATCTACTAACTGATAACCTGAACATATGTATTCTCTGTAATGTAAAAATTCCACTCCTAGATATACACCCAATAGAAATGCATAGTTTTTCAGCAAAAGGCATACACTAGGACATTTATAGCAGCATATTTGTAATAACCAAGACCTAAAAACTTCTGGAAACAAATGGATGTCAATAGTAGGACAAATAAATAAAAAATGGTTTATTCACACAGAGTGATATTATAAAGTGATGAGAATGATCTACAACTACATACAAAATTTTGCATGAATTTCACACATGCTAAGCAAAAGAGGCTAAAACACTGAATGGATGATTCCATTTATATGAATACACTTATATAGAGTACAAAAACAGGCAAACTGTTCTATCAAAGGTCAGAATAGTGATTACTATTGGTGGTGAGAAGTAACAAGGAAACATCGCAACAGGAGCTTTGGGGTTTCTTTAGCTACATTCTATGTGCATTAGATATGTTTACCCTGTGAAAATTTACTCAGCATTTTATATACTTAGGGCATGTATGCTTTCCTGTTTATATATATAATACCATTTTTTCATTCTAATCATATTATAATTATAGTTATATAATTATATATTTATAGTTATATATATAATTATATATATTATAGCTATATAAATTATATATTTATAGTTACATATATTATATATATAATTATATATAATTTAGAACCTAAAATTCCTTGAGAGACCTCATTGGCAGATACAAATCTGTGTCCTTTGCATGAATCTTGTGACTAACCCTAGGTGATCTATTCAAGCTATATTTTAAAATTTATTTAAAGATTTTTTTCTCTTTGTTTTTTCCTTATTTCAGGGCCCTCCTGGTCCAAAAGGTGACAAGGTAAGAAAATATATAGCAGAAACAAATTTAGTGAGAATCCATACTGGCCTGACTTATACTATGTTACATTTAGATATTTTTAATGAGCATCATCTACAGACTTTATTCTAAAAACTATCCATCTTCTCATTTTCCTGCTCTACAGGGAGAACAGGGCGATCAGGGACCTCGGGTAAGTTGTTCTCTTCCTTTCCTGGGCAGAAAATTAGCTTTTAGTTCCAAATTCATTGAATTAAAGTAGTCCTGGATCCATAACTATGTTGTGTCATGTGGTTTAGTAATGGCTAACAAAAATACCATATTACTTATAACTGAAATAGCCTTAATTATAACTAATGTTTATATCTTGTTTCACTATCTTAACTTGATGCCTGTAAATAGGACACTCTACAATAATGATCCCTTCTGATTAAGGGCCAGAATCACAACTAAAAGTCAACAACAACCACCGTTCCATTGGCTATTGGGTCCTTCAGATTAGTATGCATTGTTTTGTAACATAGAGGCCATGTGGATTCCTATTGAGTTTGCTTTTTTTGCAGTTAAACTTTATGTGCCATTGCATAAATATGTTGTATTATAGATGAAAATATTAATGCATTTTATATATTTTGTTCATAAGTTTGAAAAATAGTTATTTGAATTTCTTATTCTTTATAGAATTTTAAACAGATAAAAGGTATAATATCATGTAGCATTCCAGGGAGGAGGGGCCTTCTTTTATTTGTCTCCAATGTGGCTTTTTAACCCATCATAACACAGTGGTGAATGCTTTGTTTTTACCTTGGTAGTGCCAAGTCCTCTGCCTCACATCTGTGCCTTATTACCCAAATGTTCAGACATACTGTTCCAATGATGTAGTGGCTCTGTGCAGACATACCTCTCAATTTTCTCATGTCACTATGCACAAACGCGAGTATTTGGTTGAAGAGAGTTGTTTTTTTACAGAGGAAAAGTACTTTTAAAACTTTCAGGTTGAAAACAGACACTGTGTAGATTTTTTTGTAAAATTCACTCTGTGACGTTAATTATAGAATTCACTTACACTGCAGCATCATGAAAGATGCAGTCAATGAAAACTTGAAAAGTTTGTAGTCTTACTCCTCCTGTTTAGTAACCTAGATGAAAATTATGGTATGATTTACTTTCCTTTCTATTCCTGCTATTTTGTCATGCAGAAATAATGACTATGCTTCAGAGCATTCTGTTTCTCATGGCAGTTTTTCTGTCTGATGTCCAGTTGAAAGTTCCTCTTAATGGTCAAGGATTAAACATCATGAGTGGCATGGATGTGAATGGAATACAATTCTCATAACCTTCAATGATTAGAATGTAACCACTTGCTCTGTATGTGGCAGTTATTTCTTGTGGCATGTCCCCATGCACTGAGTATCATTTCTTTCTACATGCAATATCAAAATCACTCAACTTGCCCTGTCCAGGTAAGAGAGGAACTGTTTCTATTCTAAGAAATCTTTTGGCAAAGGACGTGAGAGGGTGGTTCACAGCTTGGCTGTCATCAGAGTGCACAGTTCTCATTTTCAAAAAGGTGTGTTGGCTTTCGTCGTTCCAAAACGTGATGATTGATTATAAAGCGAGGCCAAATTTTCAGGATGAAACCCGAAACCATGTGAAATTCACCTGGTTTCATGTTGCATTGCAAACTAAGACTTGGACCAGCTTCCTTGCAAGTGTGGCCAAAGTTCATGAACTACTTTGACGAACCCAGACTGCCTTTCATACAGATTTCAGCCAGTTTTCACACTGACTGGGGCCAAGTTTCACACAATTCGGGGGCCACTTAGCATTTTAGCTGGAAAGTGGCAAAAATTGATTCCATTTTCATCTGGATTTTGCTTTGGGTTGAAACAATTTCGATTGAATTCATAATGCAAGATGAATCTTTATGTATAAAAATTTAAATGTCCTGGGAAGTATATGGGAATGTGCACATGAGAACTTATGGAATTGCCTGGCTTTTCTCAGATTCCTAATTTAGAAACAAGGCAGGACCCATACAGCAATCTTAGATTTATAATATAAGTAATGCCAGCTACTTATTAGAAAATTCACTTATCAATATGGCAAAATGAAGATTTTACATTTCCAGAAAAATCAAAAGTTAGTTAGAACTGGAAATGTCTTTAATTGTAATGAAAACCAACATTTCCCATATTCTCTATGAGCACACACTATTCCAGCTGATGCTGACAGAGGCTCTCTTTTTAAAAATGTAGATCTTTGTATTTAAATACTCCTTCCTCCAGTACTCTTGCCTGGAAAATCCCATGGATGGAGGAGCCTGGTAGGCTGCAGTCCATGGGGTTGCGAAGAGTCAGACATGACTGAGCGACTTCACTTTCACTTTTCACTTTTATGCATTGGAGAAGGAAATGGCAACCCACTCCAGTGTTCTTGCCTGGAGAATCCCAGGGATGGGGTCCCACAGAGTTGGACACGACTGAAGTGATTTTGCAGTAGCAGTCCACTTTCATCCTATCATAGACTTTTGAATTTTGAACAAATGTCATTCCAAGTAATTTATTTTTTTCCATAATTAACTCTATGATCTTCCATTATTTAATTCTTTGTTAACTGACTTTCCATTGGGATGTATGCTATTTTCCTGAAAGTGAAGTCCTCCTTTTATTTTCTTGACTCCCCAAATGCCAGACAGGAGTATAATAGGTCATAATATGTGAATCAAAGAAGGAAAAATTTGAAGATGAAATACTTAGACATATATTTATCAATATATATTGAGTGTCTACTATGACCAAAGTACCATACTTAACACTATAGAGACTACAAATGTATCCACTTCTCTCTCTCTCTTCTAATATCAGCAAATTCAGCCTATTCTCATCTCAGCCTATTCTCAGTTCTTGATCACTACTCTAGTATTCCAAATGATTTTGTTTCTTCTCTTACCCTGCACAATGCATTTCCTAAACAGTAACCTGAACTGTTTTATACTTTAAATTAAGTTGTGTTACTCCTTGTTTTAAAACTTAGAATGAAATCCAAACCACTTTGCTTGGCCTCCATGGACCTTCAAGATCTTGCCCTTCAGTTCACTTCAGTTCAGTCATTCAGTTGTGTCCAACTCATTGCGATCCCATGGACTGCAGCACGCCAGGCCTCCCTGTCCATCACCAACTCGTGGAAGTTTACTCAAACTCATGTCCATTGAGTCAGTGATGCCATCCACCATCTCATCCTCTGTCGTCCCCTTTTCCTCCTGCCCTCAATCTTTCCCAGCATCAGGGTCTTTTCAAATGAGTCAGCTCTTTGCATCAGGTGGCCAAAGTATTGGAGTTTCAGCTTCAACATCAGTCCTTCCAGTGAACACCCAGGACTGATCTCCTTTAGTATGGACTGGTTGGATCTCATGCAGTCCAAGGGACTCTCAAGAGGCTTCTCCAACACCACAGTTCAAAAGCATCAATTCTTTGGTGCTCAGCTTTCTTTATAGTCCAACTCACATCCATACTACTGGAAAAACCATAGCTTTGACTAGACGGACCTTTGTTGATAAAGTAATATCTCTGCTTTTTAACATGTCTAGGTTGGTCATAACTTTTCTTCCAGGGAGCAAGCATCTTTTAATTTTATGGCTGCAGTAACCATCTGCAGTGATTTTGGAGCCCCCAAAAATAAAGTCTGTGTCTGTTTCCACTGTTTCCCCATCTACTTGCCATGAAGTGATGGGACCAGATGCCATGATCTTTGTTTTCTGAATGCTGAGCTTTAAGCCAACTTTTTCACTCTCCTCTTTCACTTTCATCAAGAGGCTCTTTAGTTCTTCATCACTTTCTGCCATAAGTGTGGTGTCATCTGCATATCTGAGGTTATTGATATTTCTCCCAGCAATCTTGAGTCCAGCTTGTGCTTCTTCCAGACCAGCATTTCTCACGATGTACTCTTTATATAAGTTAAATAAGCAGGGTGACAATATACAGCCTTGACGTACTCCTTTTCCTATTTGGAACCAGTCTGTTGTGCCATGTCCGGTTCTAACTGTTGCATCTTGACCTGCATACACATTTCTCAGGAGGCAGGTCAGGTGGTCTGGTATTCCCATCTCTTTCAGAATTTTCCACAGTTTGTTGTGATCCACACAGTCAAAGGCTTTGGCATAGTTAATAAAACAGTAGTACATGTTTCTCTGGAACTCTGTTGCTTTTTCAGTGATCCAGCAGATGTTGACAATTTGATCTCTGGTTCCTCTGCCTTTTCTAAAACCACCTTGAACATCTGGAGGTTCATGGTTCATGTACTGTTGAAGGTGGATGTGGAGAATTTTGAGCATTACTTTGTTAGCGTGTGAGATGAGTGTAATTGTGCAGTAGTTTGACCATTCTTTGGCATTGCCTTTCTTTGGGATTGGAGTGAAAACTGTCCTTTTCCAGTCCTGTGACCACTGCTGAGTTTTCCAAATTTGCTGGCATATTGAGTGCAGCACTTTCACAGCATCATCTTTCAGGATTTGAAATGGCTCAACTGGAACTCCATCACCTCCACTAGCTCTGTTTGTAGTGATGTTTCCTTAGGCCCACTTGCCTTCACATTCCAGGATGTCTGGCTCTAGGTGAGTGATCACACCATTGTGATTATCTGGGTCGTGAAGATTTTTTTTGTACAGTTCTTCTGTGTAGTCTTGCCACTTCTTCTTAATATCTTCTGCTTCTGTTAGGTCCATACAATTTCTGTCCTTTATTGAGCCCATCTTTGCATGAAATGTTCCCTTGGTATCTCTAATTTTCTTGAAGAGATCTCTAGTCTTTCCCATTCTATTGTTTTCCTCTATTTCTTTGCACTGATCACTGAGGAATGCTTTTTTATCTCTCCTGCTATTCTTTGGAACTCTGCATTCAAATGGGTACATCTTTATTTTTCTCTTTTGCTTTTTGCTTCTCTTCTATTCACAGCTATTTGTAAGCCCTCCTCAGACAGCCATTTTGCCTTTTGCATTTCTTTTCCTTGGGGGTTGTCTTGATCCCTCCCTCCTGTACAATGTGACAGACCTCCATCCATAGTTCATCAGGCACTGTCTATCCTATCTAGTCCCTTAAATCTCTTTGTATAATCTCTGCTGTATAATCATAAGGGATTTGATTTAGGTCATACCTGAAAAATCTAGTGGTTTTCCCTATTTTCTTCAATTTAAGT